TCAGCCCAGGCTTTTTCTAATTAGCAGATTCAAATCAGGAAGATTTAATTGCAGTTTGGATTGAATTCTGTCCCTCGGCACTCAAGCCCATCCGATTGAATTCAATTCAGCACACACCGAGTGATTTGAACAAACATGTCGGGGCCAGTGCAGCAGGTTGGGACCGGGTAGGTGACACGGGTGAGTGGAGAGTGGTGGCCTGGAGAGGTGTCAGGTGCAGTGTGGGTGTGAGCCCTGCCAGGCTGCTTGCTGTAGCCAGACCTTCTGTCCTCCGGCAGCTCAATCACACTGCCCTCCTGACCTCTGTCTGCCTAAGAAACATAAAGACTGAGGCCCTGAGAGGCCTTAGCGGGGGAAGAGGGGAGGCACCTGCCCCGAGGCACACCTGGGTCCACCCCGGGCTTTCTCTGCCTGGCCTGTCACCCTTACTTTAGGATATATGAACCCTACCCAGGCAGCTTCTCTTAGCTGGGCACCTTGGCCCCAGAGTGTGTGGGAGCAGCAGGCCTTGGGGGATCAATCCCAAATATGCCCCCTTTTGGGTCCATGCCTGATAACGCGACCCTGAACTTGAGCTCCAATGTCTCTGTCCTCATGGTGCTCCTTCTCTGACTCAGTCCCGGTTTCAGAGTTCCAACTCTGATGCCCTGTTCTGACTACCTACCCCCAGCCCTAGCCCTGCCCAGGAGGAGCCCCCCAGGGGCACCTGGGACCTGTGAGGCAGGGCAGCGAACAAGAGCCTCCTACTGTCCTTCTCCTGCAGGCAGCTGTGCCTCTGCCAAGCCTCCAGATTCCCCTGTGAGACGGTCCAGCACGGATGCTCCCCCAGGGAAGAACGTAAGGGTCTGTGTAGCAACCGGACCATGGCATGCTTCAAGGCCATTGATAGTGGAAAATAAAGTTTAGCTATATGTATATATTAGTTATATTAGCGATATATATATTAGCTATATTAGGTATATGTATATGTGTGTGTGTGTGTGTGTGTGTGTATATAAATTTTTTTGAGAGACAGAGAGAGAGAACATGTGTGAGAAGGGGAGAAGGACAGAGGGAGAGCGAGAATCCCAAACAGGCTCCACACCCAGTGAGCCCAACATGGGGCTCAGTCTCACGACCCTGGGATCATGACTTGAGCCAAAATCAAGAGTCGGACGCTCAACCAACTGAACCACCCAGGCACTCCAAGTTTAGCTTGATGTTTAGACAGAGCTGACATAAACTGTGCATTGAGACAATGCCCACAGGAAATCTCCAGAACACCGTTCTGGGTTAACCCTGTGGCTCTAGGGCTGTAAGGTATTTCTGTGACCCTGTTCAACCCTCAGCCAGGTTCTCACAGTCTGGGGCAACAGCAGAAAGGTGGGAGACACTGCTTTTCGAGGGGCTGATGTGTCCTAGGGTAAGTCCCAATCCAGGCTTCTTTTGCACCCAATGAGTGTCCCCTTTTCAGGGATCATGGGTTTAGGAAGGAATTTTCTGGTGAGATGATAAGAGGGGTATCCCAGAGACCACCCAGGGCCAACCTGGGCAGGTTATCCCACTCATTGAGGGTCAAGGTGCCGTTGCTCCCCCAGTTATCATTCTTGCAATTGGGTCGACTCTGTTCTAAGTTCCTTTGGACATTGCTCTTGGTAGAATTCCCTGAATATCTCTTTGCTGCTTTGAATTTGGTGCCCCCCCCACCCCCACCCCTGAGGCTGCTAAGTAAATACTGACAGCCAGAGCTTCGGCCACATGAGGGTGCGCCATGGAACACCTTCCCCGAGGCAGGTCAATGGAATGGGCCCGGGCAAGGTTTAGAACCCAGGTGGCCCAAACTGCCTCGCCTAGGACCGTGGGTCAGGCACGGCCCTCTTCAGGCCTCAGAAGGACCTGGGGAGCCCAGGGGCTGGATTAGTGGGTTTCTAAGTTTGCTTCCAACTGGATCCAAGAATTTAGCTCATTTCCCAAATGATAGACTCATGAAAAGTTATCCCAGGGATTTGGGCTAATATATTCAGGAAATACAGCACTACATGTACATCGTAATGTATATGTATATCACGGCTAGAAGCAGAAATCCCTTTAATGCCTAATGCCCCTCATATTGGTTGTCTGTTTGCTTGTTTGTTTTTGTTTTTTTTGACGTATTTGTTGAAGAATTTGGCTGCTTCTGTGGAGTTTCTCCTTTTCTGGATTCAGCGAGTTGCACTTGTACTCTGGTGTATCCCTTAAGACCTCCCTCAGTTTCTCTATGTTCCCTGTGCTCTGGTGCTTAGATCAAGGTTTGAGCAGATTCCGGTTCAGCTCTTACTATTTCTTGGCAAAAATCCTTCACAGGGGGTGTGTTCTTCCAGCAGAGAGCTGGTTGCCTTTCCTTCTGTGATGGTAACATCAAATGATCTTCGCCAGGAGCCTCTATTCCTTTAGGGGCTGCAAAAAGGTGACAGTTCAATTCTTGCTTCCTCATTTATTACCTAGGAAGCTTTTATGACGAGAAATTTCCCTTCTTCAGCCATTTGGTTACCCTCAAGTACAGCTAATAGAGGAAAGGCAGGGTAAACGTTGTGTTCTTTCCCTTTCTTTACTAGTTTTCAAAATGAAGTCTGGGTTCCCTGACATGCTTCAAAGGGCCCTGTTTTCCTTGGCATCACATAACCTATGCGATGGGTTTCCATCCATCATAATTATGCTCACTGACTTGCCAGGTGTCCAGACTGGCCAGGGGGAACCTCTTCAGGATGGTTCCTGAATCCTTTTCACCTCTGACCTGGGGTAACTTCCTTACTCGCAGTTATGACAAGACGTTTCAAAACATTTTGTGCGTTTTCTGCCCCAGACCTGAAATTAGCCGTTTCCCAAGGACCTGGTTCCTTTTCAGTCACATTGACTGGTTAAATTTGTTTTTAATTTTTTTAAAAAGTGTGTTCACTTATTATTTCTGAGAGAGAGAGAGAGAGAGAGAGAGAGAGAGCGCACAAGCTGGGGAGGGTCAGAGAGAGAAAGGGAGACACGGAATCCCAAGCAGGCTCCAAGCTCTGAGTTGTCAGCACAGAGCCCGATGCGGGGCTTGAACTCACAAGCCGTGAGATCATGACTTGAGCCGAAGTCAGACGCTTAACTGACTGAGCCACCCAGGCACCCCATTGACTGGTTAATTTTTAAGGGGAATGAGTTTTCCTGTACTTGCAGGAGTGGGGGGCAGGGGTCCAGGATAGATTTTCCAACCTCACCGCTCTAGAGGTCCGTCCCTCTTCTGTGGTTTTCTCCAAACACGGCCTCTGCTCCCACCTCTGTCTCTGCCTCCCTTGTCTTCCGTTTGCTGCATATCCCTCCCTGAGCAGCTCTATTTGGATTCTTCTTTCAGCATTTCTGCCAGGGCCGGGCTTTATCTTGGGAGGGAGCCTTGGTGCACTAATTTGAAGAAGCTTTGTGAGGCATAGACCATCCCTGCCCCTTCAGGCCTGGCAGACCCCTTGCCTCCTCTGAGTCTCCGTTTTTAAAGAGAGGCGACGGGGCTGGTGATGCCAAGCCCCTTGCAGCCTTGGTGGTTTGTGACTCTGACTCTTGTCCCTGGGCTTGAGGTCTGAGGTCCGTCCTCCAGACCCCCTTCAGACGGCTGAGTCACACCGCCCTGTGGCCTCGTCCCTGCAGGGATCTCAGCGTGGACGCCGGCTTGAGCCCTGCCCAGTTCCAGGTGCGGCCCATCCCTCAGCACTATCAGCATTACCTAGCGACTCCTCGAATGCACCACTTTCCCAGAAACTCCTCCTCCACGCAGATGGTGAGTGGAAGGGCCCTGCCGGGAACGGACCCCCCCCTTGCTGCCGGCGGGTGCCGACGGCTGGGTGCCGAGGGTGGGCCAAGGCCAGAGGCTCCCGTGGGTCCTGCTGTCACGCTGCCCTCCCCTCCCCACTCCTGTTCCCACCTGCCTGGCCAAAGTCGGTACGGCGGCAGGACTGAGTGGGGCGCTCGAGGAGCCAAGGGAGTGCGTGGCAGGCTGTGGTCTGTGGGGAAGAGGCCGAGGACAGAACAGTCCTGGCGGTCCGTGGCCTCACTTAATTAATTTCTTGGAGTCAGTGCCTCCCTGGGCTTTGATTTTGCTTATCTGTGGGATGGGAGGAAGAAGCCTGCCTCGTCCTTCTCACAGGGCTGTTGTGAGGGACAGAGGAGACCCCACAGGTGGCCCTTGGGCCCTGCCTGCTGATTCATTTCTGCTTTCTGCAGGGGGCTGGTCTTTGTCACCGCAGGCATCAGGGTGGCAGAAGGGGGCAGGTTGGGTTTGGGGGCCTTCTGGTCGGTCCCTGGCATTGCGAGCTAAGTGGAGCCAAGTTGGATATTCCATCAAAGCAGCAAAAGACAGATGGCAAAATCTTATCTCCACCCAGCTGCTTCACAGTTCCACCCTTCCAGCCCTTGCCTGTGTCACTAGCCACTCAGTTCCTCAGTCTCCGTATTTGTCAAATGAGAGGCCTGGAGCCCTCGTCAGCTCTGAGGCACGATGGTTCGTGTCATGAAGCACCATCTCCTGGGGAAAAAAGCTGACGTTTATCGAGCACTTACTGCATGGCAGGCCCTGTTCTAAGCACTTTGCGTGAATTATCCACAACCTTACCCAAAAGGGCATTGTCCCTATTTCACAGATTGGCAAACTGAGGTATAGGGGGGTTAGCTAACAGGGTTCATGCAGCGAGGAGCTGTGATGGAGATCTGGCCCCTCTGACACAAAGCTGATGCCGGAGCGAGGTGAGGGAGGCAGAGCCCTGCCAGCACAGGGTCAGATCTTGTCTTTATGTAAGCTTTTGATATTTTGTTCACTGTGGATTTCCACACTGATTTCAATTTAAAAGATACTGCGTGAAGATATTATTTACCTTGATTACTGAGTCTTTTGTGTTTAAATTTTGTGCTCTCACCTGCATTTCTCAGTAAGGACCCTGGCCCCAGCTCTTCCCCGTCTAAGGCAGTGCAGAGTGGAGAGGAAGGAAGTGGCCATGGCCACCCAACTGCCTGGGTTTGAAATTGTGGTTCTGCCACTTGGTTGCATAACTTGGGCACCTACTTTATCTATTTGTGTCTCATTTGCACCATCAGGAAAATGGGGATTTTCCTATTTGTCCTATCAGGAAAATGTGTAATTGCACCCACATTCTAGAGCAGATGAGATCATTAACTTAATCATGTGAAGTGCTTAGACAGTGCCTGCCACGAAATACATGCCCAATCAGCTCGGTTATTTTTCTAATTATATTAGCATATGGTATATATATTTACTAATTTATATATATATTTTAGATGTTTATCCATCTATTTTTGAGAGAGAGAACATGCGTGTGTGTGAGCAGGGGAGGGGCAGGGAGAGAGGGATAGAGAGAATCCCAAGCAGGCTCCTTGCTGTCCGTGCAGAGCCTGATGCACAGCTCGAACCCACAAACTGCGAGATTATGACCTGAGCCAAAATCAGGAATCAGATGCTTAACCCACTGAGCTACCCAGGTGCCCCTAATTTAATTTTTTTGTGATGTTTATTTATTTCTTGAGAGAGAGAGAAAGAGAGAGACAGAGTGTGAGCAGGGGAGGGG